ACAAGTTAATTATATGTTTGTATGCAAATTTTACAGAAAAAATTCAAAAATCAGAAAAAATCCAAGGTTTATTAGTTTGGTTTGATTTAAAAATTTAAAAATTTGACACAATGGTTTGGTTTGGTATTTGAAAAACCCGAACTAACCTAAGGTTGAAAAACCCGATCGAAAAAATCCGAATTTTATTAGTTTGGTTTGGTTTATAAATTTAATCAAATTACACAAATGGTTTGATTTGATATTTGAAAAACCCGAACCAACCCGGTCATGTACACCCCTAGTTGGAGTGTCAAAAATGAGCCCAACTATAGGTAATCCGCCCAATCAGTCTAGAATTTTAAGGGTGGGCTCAAGGTAAATTGAATTAGATTCAATCTCAACTTTTTCAAGCTTTAACACAATTTAAGAGAATTTTCAATTGAACTCAATTTAACCTCGAAGGGAGTAGGGAAGAATAAAGGAAGACCACTTATTGATACCTTTAACAAAATCAAAGAAACCACTAATTAATACTACTATTAAAGACATTAGAAAACTCTTCATTACCCACCTATACAAGAACTCTTCGACTATGAGAGGTTAAAATAATATGTTTCAAGAAAAGAAAAGGCTGTCATTAATTGGTAGAAATAAATTATAAACTATTTAAGTGTAATTTTACTTTAGATTAAAGTAAATTGGTTGTTAAACATTTTTGAACAGATTAATAAAGGTGGATGGTTGTGATTTGCTCAACCTTTTATGTCATCACGTTAGGAATACATTGGCCAACTTTATAAAAGCAAAAGCACAAAAAGACAGGCGAATTGATTGACAAAGAAAGAAAGAAAGAAAATATTATTTATATTATATGGTCAGTCAATTACTTGGAGTTCGGAATCAAAAGGGCAACAAATTTTTTTGAAAATTTCAAAAGAGCAACTAAATTATTTATCAAATCAAAGGGCAACAAATTTTAACAGTGTTTAAATCAGGGTTTCCGCCGTAAGGCACAAAAACCCATGCGCCTTACAAGGCTATGACAACTTTTAGCCTTACAAGGAGCAGGCTCACCTGCGTTTTGCAGGGCTATTTTTTTTAAAAAAAAAAATTGTTTTTTGAATTGAGTAAAAATTTGCAAATCAAATTCCATTTTAGCATATGAATTTATACAAATTAGTAAATTCCATGTTTCAACGAAAAAATAAAATAAAATACTTCAAATAGTAGTAAAAATTTATTAGATAAAGTGAATAAAAATAATTTAATAAATACTATATTAAAATTACAAATAAATAAAATTTTAAAAAAATAATTAAAAAGTATATATATACTAGATGTGATATGCCCGTGCAAAGCACGGGCCCAACAAACATAGATTGAATGTATAAATAATGCAGTTCATTTGTAGTTGTAACCACAAAGGAAATGTGAACAACAAACAAGTGGTAAACTATAAGTTAAAGCCAGAATCAAATAAAAGTTCCAAGTCCATTCATTGAAGAAATTTATTTTTATAAACAACATATCAAGCATAACATACTTGGATCATTATATTTTTTGATTGCTTGCGAGCACAAATTCTGTTACTAAACAACACTCCATACCTGAGAACAACTCCTGTTTTAGGACAATTCTTCATGCCTAAACACAAGTACACGACAAACTCCAATAATAGAAATACAAGTTAATCAAACACACCTCAATTATATCAAGTTCTGATACTTGTTTGGCCGAAGTAAATAACGGAGTTGCAACTGCTAAACATGTACCCACAATAGATGCAACTCCTAAACATGTACCCACAATAGATAGTTCAACACTATGCTTCAAAGCATTTATATATTCATATCACCATTGATTTTTTATTTTTTATTTTACGAAGTAGTGATTTCATTAATGGCATCAAGAAGATGCAGGAATTTACATATGTTTTTGATTTCTTTCGAGGGACCTCGTTGATTTCTCTCTATCTCCTGGATTGAATTTTAGAAATATTACAGATTGTGAGTTGCTATGCCAATTGTGCTTGCTTTGATTGATGAACCAGTTTTTTTTTTTTTTTTGTTGGAACCCTGTTTCCTCGACAAGTTTTGCCTTATCCTCTTCCTGCAACAATAGCTTATTCTCATAACATAAATCTTGACTATTTAAATGATGATGACAACATTCACTCTAGTCAAGTATACATGCAAAATAATAAAGTTTGTTAATTCATATTAATATTTGTATCTAGATCTGATCAATTAATTAGGTAACAAACTCACAGTTGGATAAGACTATTTTGAGTGTCATATCAATTCTTCAAAACAGATTGTATTACCAGGTAATTTTCCTTCATTCCCCTTCCACTTCTAAAAAACGTCATTCCCCATATTCAATTATTTATCCAAATCCCAGTTGGTAGCTATGATATCCAAAGCTAACCACCTCTTGCTAATTGAGATGCATTATATTACAGTAGTTGTATTACCAGGTAAAGGACCAAAATTGTACCTCCCTATGTTTTAGTATGAAAATTTCTATTATTAATAAGTAAACACAAGGTGTTAACAATTCAATTGATAGTTAATTGTATTATAGAGTTGGACCTATCTCATTGGTAATTACTAATTAGATACATGCCTTGCCTTTCTACTTCAGTAAAACACATGTATCACTTTAGATCTAACTATTACTTTTATGGATTAGACTTAACTCTACAATTCTCAATTTCTTTCACTATATTATCTTTCTCTACAACTCTCATTCTCCTTTGCTACTTCGAGGTGTCATCCAGCTTTGGGTGAGTTTCTCTGTTGTCCTTCCCTCTTTCTTATTCACTCTTTCAATGTTAAATTTTGTAGTTTTTCTGTCGACGCTTTCTAATTTACTTATTGATGTTCTTCTGCAGCTAGATACATATTACAAGTTAAGAAAAGATAAGGTTATTAGGTTCTTTTCTTCTATTTTTCTTTCTATCGAGTTTGTTTAATGTTCACTTCTTGCGTTGCAATATAAATTTTCTTTTAAGTAACACTATAATTTAGAAATTTGAGACTTTTAGTTAAGGTATGATATTGGTGATTTCTAAAGAGAAATTTATCCCTTACCTTACTGATGGACCAAACAATTGAAGAGTCTCCAAATGTACATAGAACCTTTTTAGGATTTCACGTGGAATAAAAGGGCAAGTACAACAAAGATATTGATGTACGAGATCTTTGAGTAGCTCATATTGAAAGCTAACTCCTCAATTCCTGAGAAAACTGTAAGATTTCTTTTCATATCAATGGTCATGTAATTTCCCCTATTGTCATTCCAATGTTTGTTGGTTTAAATTATTTTATTAGTTTCTTTGTTGTTTGCTGAAAGCAAGCTTTGTTTTCGCTGCATCAAATTAAGGAAAGTATTGCAAGATAATAAGTAGACCATAGAATATGTTATTTCAAGTATTTGGAATGCATATTTCTGGGCAGCGCAATTTTCGTTTCTTCATTCCTTCTCTAGGAAGGAGAGATGTTGATCAATTCGGGAAAAGCATGATTTCTTTCCGTGCAAAATAAAATGACCAGTATAGTAGTCATTTTATCTGAAATTTTGAGTAGAAACTTTGTAGCTGAAGAGTGAACAGTTCACCAACCAATTGTCAAAAAAAGAACACACCAATTAAGATCTACATAACATGATATCAGTACTAAATTATAATGAGAAAGCATGGAAATGTGTTATTTATATTTCAGTGTAAAATCTTTGTGTGAACCTTGATAGCAAGAGTTTCATATGTTTGTTCGGTTGTCATGGACATTGTACAACTTCTGTCTATAACGTCAAGCTCAAAAAGGCAACTGCAATGAAAACAAAAGTTTGCCTATTGCACAGGATGGT